GATTTGAAAAGGGAGCTTAAAAGGATTTGGAAATGTAAGGAAGCCCTCGGCGCACTTTGAATGGAGTCAACCAACCTGAGGAAATGGTTACAGGTGCTGGACGTGGCCAAGGAACTAGAGTTCGGCTACAGAAGTTAATCCCTTTTGGAACAGCGAGCCTGCGGACACAGACGTATTTCCGGACGTCGCTTCTCTCAACCCATGTCGGTCATGAAGAGAAGGGACGACCGGAAATACGTCTGTGTCCGCAGGCTAGAGAACAACAAGGATCCTTAGAAGAGTACAGGACATGGGATAAGTTACAACAACAAAAAAGTTGTAATATAACTCGTTATATGATAAAAAGTCGTAATATAACTCTAATCATCTTCGCTTCGGGCACCATTCCTCTTCAATAAGCTTCAATGGATCACATGAAGCGATTAAAATCTTCTCATTTTGGAAACTTCGTATTTTGCTGAAAGCATTAATTCATTCGTTTTTCAGTTTCTCTAATAGCCCACTTCGATCTATTTATCTTCCCGTTACAGCTTTTTAAAGTGTCATTGTCACTAAGGACCAGGCAGGGTTTCAGGGATCGAGGTCGGCCGATTACCTCCAAACTTTCAGCATTTTTTCTATATCAGATAAGATTACGATCGGTGGTATTTTTAGTAAAATAAAATTAATTTCTTAGAATTTTGACCACCCGCCTAGTTTTTGGTGCTATTTTGCCCACGTGAGACGGAAAATTTGGGTAAACGTCCACGACGCATTTTATTTACTTGACATTAGCCTTATTCATTTATACGAACTGTACATACTTTCCAGCCTATAACCAGCTCATGTCTCCAATATAAACGAATTCGGTAAAAAATAACTTACTTTGGAGCGGTTCCAAATATCATCACTTCGTGGCTATCGCAAGTAAGAAGAATTTTGGCAATTTTCCAATCTGGTTTTCTCTAAAGTGCGGCAGTTTATATCCAGATCAAAACTATTTTTTATTAGCCTGTCATAAAGTCTTTACAAATACGCAAACTCTTAATTATTTGGCAAGTTAAAATCTCGTCGCGTGAGCTTTCTCACAACTTTAACCTAATTTCCTGATTTGCATAATTGTCGTTTTTCCCGGAAATATTTCTCGCTTGATTAGTTTGCGACATATTCCCGGTGTTTGTGACTAAGAGCAACACATTACTTTTTCAGGTGGTGGCCTGCATATTATACTATACTTCACTGTCAAACTCTTTGAAATATTGAGCGGTTCTGTTATTTGGTAGAAGTACACTTCAGGGAAAGATAATTTTCCATCCCTTATCTGATTATCTGCAGACAGCTGTCCTGTTCAGCTGATTTTGCTGTTTTCAATATGGATGTCAGTTTAACTTGTTCGTTCAGTTCTCCTGATTCTGCCTGTAGTTTGGAGGGCACGGGGTCGCAGGTTGTACCCCTGTTGGCGTGCAAGCTAAACATCACTGCACATCTACTAAGCCTGGGAGTCAGCTCAGGGCAACTGCGAACCGGAGACGAAAACGTTAATGAGGTTGACCTGATCCTGAATAGAGCTGGATACTTTGTTACAACCGATAACGAGAAAATGTCAATGACATTAATATGCCCGAGACACAGAAAAAAACTAACTACAGACTGGGCTGGCAGAAAGAGCAACACATGCTCGTATCCAAGTCATCGAGGACCGCGGAAAACTATAAAGAAACCTTGTCGGAAGAAATTTATCAATTTCACCAAGCCACAGTTCCCATTGGCTCGGGTAAGTACAAATCGGGTGCAGCCAGACCGCAGCCTTAATACTTAGAGTTGTAGTATGGACTTCACTGGTAAATACAAACGAAACCTTTATTTCGAAGGTACTTATTTTACTTTGTGCTTATGGATATGGTTAGTGCATAAATTTTATTTCTTTATCGGAATATGCTAAGGGAATGAAGCAAAACGTAATCCGATGCCATTGCTTTTTGTATTTGAATGAGCTTTTCTCTTTTAGTCGACTCGTTTAAATATACAAAGGCATTCCCTTATTCTGTTGCATTGTCTGGTATCCTTCTGACTTTTTCGGAAAAGGGGAGGGAGAGGGGACGTTGGGGTAGTGTTTCGAGGTGGATTGAAGTGGTAATTTGCTAATCAAGCACCCCGCCTGCAAGATGACGCCAAATGGGAGAGGACAGGGGAAGAGGAGAACTAGGAGGGGGAGTAGCGGGAATGGGAAGTTGGGTGAGGCTGCAAGGTACGCCCAAACACTCCTTATTTCACTCACCTTCCTTTCTTTAGCTGTTAAGAAAGCAAATTACCGCACTTTAATTTGGTCTTACGTGAGTGACACAAACTACAGTCAATGGACATAAGTATTCGTCACTTTCAAAAATAACGCGCGGAATTCTTACCCGCGTTGTGCACACTACGCGGGGGAAAACTAGATGCGGAGCGCGACATCGGTCAATAAAGGCGGGAAAATTATGTAAAAATAAAAACAAACAAACATCCGACTAAGAGCAAGAAAAAAATTTCAAACTTCCCAAAAGGAAACGAACAAAAGCTGTTTGTGTTTTGACACATCGTTCAGTCATTTATTCAACAGTAACTGCAACGGGTGGTCGCAAAAAAAGATCACAGTTATTTTGTTTTGCTTCTGATAAACAATATTCAGCACTCGTGAGTCGAAAAAGTGCTTAACTGTCTGCAGAGACAAACGAATTAATTGTTACTTTGTCAGAATCCGTGAAAAACAAAGCTGAACTGTCAAGACTCTTGAACATTCTAAGAACGACTATCACAGGTGGAACAAAAGATAAATTTGATGACCTGGGGATGTCTTTGATATGATAGTGTTGGAAGTGTGACTTCAGTTGAAGGCAACAGCAACTCTGCCAAGTACATTGACATCCTAGAAAATAATGTATGGCCAGTAGTTGTTTAGTACTTAGAAGACAAAGACTAAATGTTCATGGATGGCAATACGCCAGTTCACAGCGGAGCACACAATGTAAATAATTGTAAAGATAAAGCAAAGTACCCTTAATGAAATGGCCAGCACAGTCTCCAGATTTAAATATAATAGAAAACATTTGGCTTTACATCAAGAGAGAGTTACAAAAGTCTACTGAAAATATCGCTACCAAGAATGACCTTCTTCGTGAAACCGAGAGTGTGTAGCGGAAGATCGAATTAGATTGAATAAGAAAGCTTACCAGTCCATTCCTGATCGCCTAGACAATGTTATCAAAATGACGGGTCATCTTACTAAATACTAAGGTGATTTTAAACTTAAATTTACCGTAAACGAAGTTAAAACAGCGCGCGTAAACGCCGCCATATTGAAAGTGACGAATATATATGTCCCTTGACTGTATATTGATGATGGGTATGATAACGATAACCATAATGACGATGGTGACGGTATAAAGGGTCAATCACGTTGATAGTGATCGTGTAGGTTATTGTTGTCAGTATTGTTAATCTATTTATCGTTATCATTTTTTATGACAGCTGTGTGTTCCAGCTGCCGTGGAGGACACTACAAATCCCGTAAGGCTCACGGTTTCATGTCTGGAGAGCAGGTAAGCTAGTACACATTGGCCATTCACAGCTTAGTGTAACTAAGCATAGTGTAACTGACCATATACTCAGAGGATGTTTTGATACCGCCAACAGGTGCACTGATATCTATAACAACTGACAACATGAATAACACGTACCTTTGTTGGTTTTCCTGTCTTTTCTTCAATGGGTAGCCATTTGGAATCGTTAAGGTGTGGTCGATTTCCGAGAGGCTTGGGACCTAGTTATAATGATAGCCATGTCTAGAGTTTTCAGATCGCGCGTCGAGAACAATTACTCGACTACATCTGAATGTTTTCTGAATGACAAATTGGTCTTGACCAGTGCTTGAAGAGACCAGCAACAACAAAGATGCGAGGGCACCCTTTGGCAGCGGCTTGGAAACACATATAGAGTTTCCACAGTTACATGTATTGGAGATCTTTGTGGAATTGTTGACGATCTTGTCCATAATTTGCTAATCTATTTTATGACGCTTCAGGATCCTTACTCAGACACCTTGGTGATTGGAGACGAGATCGAGGAGTCTGATTCTGCCACTGTCTCTGTCATTACTGTTTGTGAGGAGAGCACATTGCCAGCCACGGTGTGTGCAGCGGTCTCAAGCACTGGTGAGGGGTCAGAAACAGTCTCTTTGTAATCCCGTTCGTCCCAAGCCTCGATACCAGACGAAGAGATTAGTTTATGGGTTGACGAGATAGAGGAACAAAACAGCAAAAGGCAGAAATTAAACGAAGCTGTCCACAGCATCTCAGGTGGCCGCTACAGCCCCGTAATGTCCAGCCTGAACACGACCTGGGACGACGTCTCCGACACCCAGCAGCGATATTACATCCGCAAAGCTAAGGAGACTATAGTGACTTCATTGTCTGTCATCACTCCCGGTCAAGAGGAACTGGTTTGGAAGGCGTTACAAACGGAGGTACTTTTGGATCCAAACAGAGACAACCAAGGAAAGCGCAAGCGTTTTGATCCCAACTCTGGTCTTGTCGACATTTTAGTCAAGGCCTATGAGCAAGCAAGTCATTGGCAAACAAAGCGACAGATCCTCTCCCTCTTTGCAGACGACTTTTCAAGAGCTGAGCTTCAAGAGATGATCCCTAGGCTTTCCAAATGGCGCATCGCCCAAGCTCGCCAACATGCAACAGAAGCAGGGAAAGGCCAGCCTCTCCCTGAAATTCCTAGTTTCCGTACAAGAATTGAGCATGAAAAGGTGGATCATTTCATTGAATATATCTCCAGACCAGAATTTGTCCAAGACGTGGCGTTCGGGACAGACTCTCAAGCTTGACTTGGGGGAGAAAATTGTCATACCAGCAGTCATTAGGACCGTCATTCCTTCACGCATCATCAGACAATATTTAGACTATTGTAAAGAACAAGAGTTCGAGCCGGCGAGCCAGCGTTCTCTCTACCGAATGATTTAAGTGTGTTCGGCTTCTATGCAGAAATCCCTTCAGGGACTTGACAAAACCACTGCAGAGGGTACAGAGGCTTTTGATCAACTCTTTTCTATGTTGGAGGCCTTAGCAGATCAGGGAATCAACGTTACTGCCACTCAGAAATTTCTAAAGGATGCAAAAAGGTACTTAAAGAATGATTTCAAGACACACATCGGACGAGGAGAACGTTGCAGTGATCACTGCACGGTCCACGCACTAAGTGACAGTAGTGCATGGGAGTTCAGGGGCAAATGTGATCATGAACATTGCTACGAATGTGAGCGCTGTGAGAGTCTAGAAGGAGTACTGAAACAGGTGGCAGAGATGCAAGACAAAGCGGACATGACGGAAGAGGAGAGGGTTAGGTGGAGGTTTGAGTACACTGAGAGGGTGCGCAACATACAAGCGTGGAAGGCTCACTTGCTACGGTCAAGTAACCAGGACGAAGTCAAGCAGCATATTCTCGAGAAGCTAGACGACAACTCGTGTCTTGTCATAATGGACTGGGCAATGAAGTTTCTGCCTGTGCAATACAGAGAACAAATGAGTGATTTTTTTGGCAAGAGAGGAAGAAGCTGGCATATCAGTGCAGTAATCACTAGAGCAACAGTGGAGAGCAAGCATGAAGTCGAGTGTTTTGTACACATTTTCAACAACTGCACCCAAAATAGCTTTGCAGTTCTTTCAATAATAGAGGACTTGCTGCAAAAAGTCAAATTGGAGTATCCAGGGGTGACAACAGCCTACCTCCGATCGGATAACGCTGGATGTTACCATAATGGGCCTCTGTTGTTAAGTCTTAGAGAAGTAGGGGTGAGAACCGGTGTCAGGCCAGTGCTATATGATTTCTCAGAACCACAGGCTGGCAAGGAGATTTGTGATAGGAAGACTGCTGCTATGTAGGCACACATAAAGCGCTGGGTCAACGAAAAGCACGACGTCGTCACTGCTGAAGATATGAAAGCAGCACTAGAATCCCATGGAGGTATTAAAGGGTGCAGAGCAGCAGTCGTTGAGGTGGACACGACCAGGGAAAGAAACAAAGATAGCAAGATACCAGGCATTAGTGTGTTGAACAATTTCCAGTATGAGGAGTGTGGCATCCGTGTGTGGAAAGCGTACAACATCGGCCCTGGACGCCTCATCCCTTATAGCGGTCTTGGAGTTACACCACAAGGGGATACTGGAATAAGGGTGGTAAAGCCATTTGGTCAAGCTACACACAGGGGAAGCGTGGGTGAGAGCGTCAGGCACCAGTCCGAGATCTACTCTTGCCAAGAGACTGGATGCGTCCTCACGTTCAAGACCCAAGCAGAGGCAGACAACCATATGGACACGGGCAAGCACTGTCTTGAGGTGGACTGTGAGTCCTTGTATGACCGCGTTAGGAGGAAATGGGCGGGAATTGTGACAGGGGTGACGTTCGCTCCGGATGTGCCAACAACCTCATCGCAAGGTGAGAATAGTGGCAGCGCTTTCAGAGAACATGACCCTAGACCATTGGGGTGGGCTCTGAAGGTAACAAAACGACCCACTAGAATGACTGATAACGTCAAGACCTTCTTGATGAAGAAATTCGAAGAGGGTACAAGAACTGGAAACAAGGCCGATCCTGTACGGGTAGCGAGGGAGATGAAGACCCTCAGAAAGGAGGACAGAGAGCTCATGTTTAAGCCTGAAGAGTGGAGGACTGCGCAGCAGATCAGTAGCCTGTTTTCACGTCAGACAGCGGCGCTGCCTCATAGGGGTATTGATGCGGAGGAAATCTCGGAGGAAGACATCGAGGCTGCCGAGTCGGAAATAGCGTTTGACACCCTTAGAAGTTTTTTTGATGGATGATATGGGCAACCCAAGCCATCCAACCATCGTGGGCATTAGCAATATCTGCGAACTTGTAAAAAACAAGAGGCTTGACTCACTCAAACTGGCAGCTCTGAAAGAAATCTGCAATCAGCTACACCTGACGACAAGCGGACCACTCTCAAGAAAAAAAACTTTCTTTGAGGCCATTCAAAAATTCTCTGAGAGTTGCACGTGTTTTCAAAAATAACGTTACATAGTTTTAGTAGGGAGGATCTCTATGCTTCTACCCCAATCTTCTCCATTGGGGCCTTTTAGATAGGTACAGGGAGACCCTTCGATAACAGGGTTTATAAATACTTGTAAATTAAAAAATCGTGAGCAATATAAGACTGCAAACTGAATGAATGCTATGTTAAACACAGTAAAACAAAAACCTGCAAGGATTTTTACATACTGCTAAACTCCAGCTGTCCGTCGCTATGCTTGAATGCTAACATGGATGAAACCAATTCGGTTTTCTTCCTAGACAAAAGAGCAGTGCCGGAAGATTTCAGCAGCAATGCACACGGATTGATCAACTTTAGTAACGTTGTGTCAAATCTATTACGTTATAATGCATTAAGTTTCGACTCACTAATTTGCGCATCTGTTCGAATTGCATCTCCTCTGCCACGAATTGACTGTCATTTCGGCAGCCTGTTTGCCTTCCATGACACGTGGAGAAAACATTAACTCTGTTAGTCTCCAAAACTATTCACTACTTTACAAAAGACAATCTTGAGCCTGTCTGGCATATTAATTTGCATGTCCATGTTTAGTGAAATGACAGAATTGTTATGTTCGCCCCAAATTTGCGGACTGTCAACGTCTGCAAGATCGAAACAACAATTAGTTTCAAAAACAAGAACCTCATAAAAATTAATAATTAAATTACGTGCAGGGTTATCATCGCTTGTATATAATATCAACAGACAGGTGAAGTTTTCCCGGGGAAATTCGACAACATGCAAATTAGTTAAATTTGAAGAAAGCCTACGGGAGGGGATTTTGACCTACCAAATGACAAAATAGGCCGATGAACTATGGCCACTTATCTGAAAAAGTAATGTTTTTCTCTTAGTGATAGTAAAGAAGCCAATAAACGCCTGCAACAAGTCGCAAATCAAGCGTGAAATTTTTCCCGGAAAAACTACAACTATGCAAATTAGGAAATTAGGTTAAAGTTGTGAGAAAGCTCACGCGACGAGATTTTAACTTGCCAAATAAGAGTTTGCGTATTTGTAAAGACTTTATGACAGACTAATAAAAAATAGTTTTGATCTGGATATAAACTGCCGCACTTTAGAGAAAACCAGATTGGAAAATTGTCAAAATTCTTCTTACTTGCGATAGCCACGAAGTGATGATATTTGGAACCGCTCCAAAGTAAGTTATTTTTTACCGAATTCGTTTATATTGGAGACATGAGCTGGTTATAGGCTGGAAAGTATGTACAGTTCGTATAAATGAATAAGGCTAATGTCAAGTAAATAAAATGCGTCGTGGAAGTTTACCCAAATTTTCCGTCTCACGTGGGCAAAATAGCACCAAAAACTAGGCGGGTGGTCAAAATTCTAAGAAATTAATTTTATTTTACTAAAAATACCAGCGATCGTAATCTTATCTGATAGAGAAAAAATGCTGAAAATTTGGGGGTAATCGGCCGACCTCGATCCCTGAAACCCTGCCTGGTCCTTAGTGACAGTGACACTTAAGACCCTACCCACAAGAAACTGGGGTTGGGTTGGTCGGTTAAAGGATGGAGTTTGACTAGTAATCGTCGCTCGTATCTGTCGGAGTGGGAATCAAACTAAGAAGTCAGGGAGTTACAAAACGTTTAACATCAAACAGCCAGTAAAGTGCTAAGCAGAGTTTGATCAGATGTGTTCAGTTTCTTGCCGCCGGTCTCTTACGATACAAAGCAGGTGTGTCCGTCTTCAAAAAAGGAAATCGGAAATTTTGGTTAGGATCATGGAACACGCGTAGGCCTTTTTTCGTGCTTTCCACAGGAAGAAATAAAATTGCGGAATAAGTTGAACTTCTCTGATACGGCCAGTACCTGTTTTCTCGTTCGAAACATTTTCGATTCGTTTGAATACTTCCTCTATTATCCATATGACCTATATGAGCTATCAAAAGGTTTCACCAGTTCCAGGTTTTTCACGGCGGACACCTTAGCCTTAAAATGTACGCGAGAAATAAAGGAAACAAATGGTATTCGTCTTCATCCAAAGGACATTTCCACCGAAAATACCGGACGTCTCCCAAGGCTCGTCAAGGCTTGTCTCTCAAATTATGCACAAAACTGAAGTTGGATTTTAATCTATCTAATGACGATCTCAGAACACAGAAAGGCATTTCTCTTGCCCCATTCGATCGCGTTTGAACCTTACGTCAAAGCCTTTCAATTTAAAATACTCAATTCTATACTTTTTACCAACTCAAAGTTGTTAAAGATTGGGTACAGGACAGAAAACTTGTGCTCTTTTTGCAAAAGGGAATCAGAAACTATTAGACATTTCTTTTGGGACTGCCCTTATTCGAATTCATTCTGGAAATGTGTTGAATCATATTATTCCGGGTTGCGAAAGCAAATAGTTCACCTAACATTAAAGGAAATTGGATCGGCTTTTTATCTTCTGAATGCCCCTTGCTTAATTATCTTATACTTATAGGGAAATATATTTATGGAGTTGCAGAAGGAATGAAGTACTCCCAACCATAAACAGTTTTATAGTTAGAATAAAGGGTAAATATGAAGTAGAAAAATATATTTGCACTAAGAATAAGAGTTTACAAAAATTAATGGACAAATGGACTTTGTAATCTAGTTAGTTTTTTTTCTTTTACAAAAATAATTAGTTTCTTCTTTTTTGAATAGCACTTGTAAAATAACAGTAGGCATACCTTGTGTGGTGATTGTGGAATTGCACGTGTGCTTAGGTGTGTAGTCCGTTTGTGCATGTATGCTTTGTGATAATAATTGCAATTGTTGTACTTTGGAATAACAAATGAAATAAAAATAAAAATTAAAAAAATTAAATTACCGGACGTTTTGAAGTCATGTAATACACTCCTCCGTAATAGACCTAGTGGAATCTATATCTGGAAAGGGGTGACAGGCCTTACGTCTTTACTGCAACTTTGAACGCCTTTTACTTAAAATTATTGCTGTATCGAGGAGAACTAAACGCTTTACACTTTTTTTTATGCCAGATTGATTACCTGTGCCCTCCGTATTTTGTTTTTGCAATGGTAATAATGTTTTATATTTGTGCTTCTTCTCAAATATAAACAATGAAATATATGGTCGTCTGGAAGTAAAGATAGAAAATGACCGGGGACGCAAAAAAACAGCCGGGTAGAAACAAACTATTTGCCGGGTATCGGGGAGCCTAAATTTTCACTGGGTAGACTTAAATAAACTATTGGGTAGGGTTTCACTGGGTCTGTTAATGAGGGGTGTTGTAATGGTGCATATGGTTGATAGTTACGAGTCCTTTCAGCTATTCATATTCAAACTGTGCACTATGCCCTAACCTGTTTGATGGCAGGACAAGGAGAAAGATAGAAAATACAAAAATAGTAACATGGTTGCTCCCGTGTAGGTTCTACGAACCAACAGCAGCTCAAAGAAGGGTGTTATCAGACTCAAAGGCGTTCGAGTGAAACTTGAACACAGCTGGTCAAAGGCAGGGAAGTTAAGGAAGTATTTCATGCCAAAACAGCTTGTAGCCTCTCTTAAATCCCATTACGCAATACCTCTATTTAAAGTGAAGGACATATATGGAAAGCGACCTGGCTGGGTACTTGCGCATTCCAAGAAAGTAATATAGCTTCTAAAACCAGGCCAAGGCTTCTTTTAAACTAGTATGTAATCTATTCACAAACACATTCGAAATATATATATATTTTTTACTAAATAAGGTAGCCATAACATGAGATAAAAGTGAAATGAACTGAGGCAGGCTTCAGCATACCCACATGTATGCAATCCATATACATTAGTGCTGAAGCAGACACAGTGATGCTAATCTCTGGACGTCTGAATTAGGAACTTTCTCTTTTGCAACCCCATCCTAGCTAAGGAACCCAAATAATAAACAATCTTAACCGCGCAACCAATGATCTCATCCAATGGATGATCTCATCAATTCCATAACCGTAATGATGTAAATTCACTTTTTCAGTTAAAGAAGACGAGTAGAAATCGATTAGAAATGCTACCAGAGACGACAGCATAAACTTTAAAATAATAATGAAAATGTTTTTTGGATTCTGGACTAAATTAAACGTTTGCGATTAAATTTCAGACTATGGAATGGAAAAGCTAAGTCATAAGGGCGGGTACCATCCTTGCAATGATCGGTACCAAGATTTATGACCCAGTTTACTCGCAAAATAGTCCAGTTCCGAGTTCGCTATGACCGCTGAATTAAAAAAATTAATACGCATTTTTTAGAGGCTTAGGGCCTGTTTACATGGAGGTGAGGGACCCCAGGTAGGTGAGGTAACCCGCTTAGGTGGGGGTAAAAAAATAACATTCCTTTACATGCAATCTTACAACCCTGCCATCCCGAGGTGCACTTCCTCAACATTATGGAATGGTCGCTAAGCACTTAAACAAGAAGAATGCTGGCAAACCACGTGTTTTGGCGATTCATGCTCTTCTACATTCACTTGCTGCTCTTGCTGCAACCTTTAGTGCCGTGGCTTTCTATTGTTACCTTTAGTAATGATGCAAAGCCACCACCAAAGTGAATTTGATGTATCACGAATCCGACGCCGGCTAGGTGGGTACCCCACCTTGAAACATTTACATGGCAAAATTTGCCCCCGGCTGAGAGGGCTACCCGGTCTGGCAGACCGGGCTACCCGCCTTAGCGGGTCACCCCACCTATCAGGTAAACGTGATCAAATTAAAATGAGAGAATATATGGACAGGCGGGTTACCCCACCTAAGCCGGTTACCTCACCTACCTGGTGTCCCCCACCTC